CCCCAAAACCCCAAAACCCCAAAACCCAAAACCCCAAAACCCCATAGATACTATAATTTTATCGATATAATACACTCATATATGCTTTTACAAATAAATCTTCTTTAAATATAATAATCAGTTCTGGTTTAACTATTCATGAATCAATCTTATCTCAAATTTAAATATTTTCTAGTAAAATTATTGACTAATTTTTACTCTGGATCATGCTTTCTAATTAAATCTCTAAGTTTAGCTAGGTCATCACCTAGACGTTCTTATAAAATATCTCCATTCAGTCCAAAAAGTTTACCATAATGAGGCAATGGATTGAACTTAGCTAAAGTTTCTTCAATAATTGGTAGAACTTGAATTATTTCATCATGCTTTCTAAACCAGGTCCAGTGAAAGCCAACTACATTTTATCCCTTAGCAGGACTAAGAGGTATATCGTCAGCACATACAAATCTAAGCTCTGAAACTTGAACAAGGTGAATAAAGTGTTCTCTGATATCATAAAGTGCGTCAAGAGCCTCTTTGAAGTTGTTGTAAGGAATGAAGAACTCTGTGTGAGACTCATCTCCTCCTGAACTAGGAGGAGCATCTGGGAAGAAGTGATATATCTTTTCTCTCCACGATCCAGCACCTACAAAAACACAAGGTGAAGGGTCTCTTCCTCTTACTGGATGAATATGTTCTGTCTTGATATGCTCTGCATTGAAGAAAGTATCTTCATACTTGGGGCAATCTTCATCCTTGATGAACTTAGTAGCTTTCCACACTGAAGTCATTTTTCTCTCTTTCCAATCTGTGAAGAAACTCAAGTAATCACAACTCTAGAATATCTTGTCCTGAGTTTCTCTGTCATCAAAGAAAGACCAATCTAAGTCTTAGTAGATGGCTTTAAAAACTTAGAAAGATGGCTCAATTTTCATTGTCATTCTATAAATTATACCTAAAGAGCCAAAGCTGTGTATATAGTAGAAAAAATCCTCCTCCTCATCTTTTTTAAAATGCTTCAGATCTCCGCTAGGAAGGACTATGTCAAATGCAACAACGTGAGCTACCATCAAAGGTTGTTTAAATCCAGAGCCATGAGTTGCTGTTATCATTGATCCAACAACGTTGATGTGTGGAAGTGATGGGACATTTGGTAGAGCTCTTCCAGCCTTATCAACATACTAAATCAGCTCTGAATATGTAACTCCAGATCCAAATGTGACTGTTTCATCATCAACCTAGACATCCTTAAAGTTTTGGAGTGATATGAGAACTCCATCGTGAGTTGTATCAGCAATATTGTTAAAGGTATGTCCTGTTCCCTGAGCCTTAATATGCTTATTTTCTGGATTTCTTAGTATTGCTTGAATTTCTTCAACATTAGTTGGAGTTACCACATTAGATGTCGAGTAGGTGATTGTTTTGGCCCAATTCTGATGAATCTAAGTCTGATCTTCAGATTAAATAGGCTGATTTTCTATTGTGTCAGAGTTTTGCATAAAAAGATTTTATTTTTGTAATATAATATATTATCTATATTAATATCCTTCCATATTTTTGTAAAATTTATACGACGGGGTTTTGGGGTTTTGGGG